CACTGTACCATAAACTGAAGCAAGAGTGTCCTGCAAGTAGTAAGAAGAGCCACTGCGGCAGTAAGAGGTGAGCCTGGGGACAGAGCTGTGAGCACCACCCAGGTGGCGTTACCTCACTGAGCCTTTGGGCACATGCCAGTGGTCCTCCTGCTGAATACTGTTGATGCCTAAAACAGGGAGAGGAAAGGGGGGAGGAAAGGTAACAGAGAAAGACAGGAGAAGCATACTGTACTCCCTTACTAATCTAAAAGCTGTTTTTTAAAAATAAGAACTGTACTTTACAGAACATGTGAAAGAAGGGAGGGGAGAGAAGACATAGAACAGAGGCCACTGGTTTGCTTGTGGCTTATAACAGATATTTGAAATCAAGTACATGCTATATACTGGAGAATATTAAATCACTGCTTAGAAAGACTAACAATACCCCCCGAAAGCATGAGAGTCTGACGAGCCTCCAGAAGGGCCTGTGCCGTCCCTCCGTGTCTCCTGCAGCACCTGCAGACAGCTGTGCAACTGAGGTGCCAGTCAGACGCTCACCCTTGAGGAGAGGTTTTGGGCCTTTCTTTAGGACTCTATGCTGCTGCTATGATTAAATCCTGAGAAATCTTAGAAACAGAACTTTAAGACTAAAAACTTCCATGGAAGGTGGATATTGCTATAGAAACTTTGACTGGAAGTGTTGACTCTGCCACTAATGAGCTTAATGCTGTGACTTCGGTGAGTCATTTAGCCATGTCATTTTTAAAAAACAAACAAGTATACAAACCAAAATCCATGTTAAAAATGACATCAGAAAGACTCAGAAAATTCAGTAACATCTGGGCTAGGCCACCCCACCTCTTTTGCACTTGGACAATCTGACAATCATCAACTGGGAGATCAGTGTAACAGCCTAGTCCTTATTGTAGACTTTCTACAGCTCTAAGCCAGGATTTATATTCCCCCTAAGAAAATATTTTATACTGACACTGAAGTACCAGAGGGGTTGCTTGATCCTCCAGAGTGAAAAGTGAAAAGCTTTGTAAGTTCCTTCAAGGCATTTCACGTGTCATTGTTTTCTCCTCCCAAGAGAGTCCCGGTAATGCTATCTGCCAGCCGCCACATCACCTGGTTTAAGTCTCTGCTGAGCAGGAAATGCATCAGCACTTACATCATTTTCAAGAGAGTGCACGAAGAAATCAATCCAGGATAAAAAATAATTATGTGAGCAGGAAATCTCTAAGGCACTCTCTGCTCTCTCTGTGGCTCTCTACTTCCCTGGGAACCTCCCAGAAATAACTTAAAAGCCTAAGAGAACACTTACCACCACGTGGACACCAGGGTAAAGATTAAGTTCTCACAGGAAGTTCATATAAGAAGTCTGAGAATTCAGTACTGGGTTAGCTATGACTCCACTTGTAATAAAACACTCTAAATATCCATGTGTGCATGCATGTGCACAAACATGCCCCTCTCTCCTCACTGAATATGAAACAGTCAGGAAAAGAGTGGAAACCAAAGAAATATATAAAGCAAGGTTTAAAAGTTAGGCTCAAAAACCAAGAAGAGCAAACTTTGAAACATACAAAATAAAAATACAGAAAGGACCTCTGAAATTATCAAATGCAACCTCCATTTAATGGAAGAGGAAACTGAGGCCCAGAAAGGTAAATGGCTCCACAGCTAGTCTTTAGCCATATGAGTCTCTGTGGCCAACATCTGAGCCAGCCTCCTCTTTTCTTACCTCTCCTGATGAACTAGTCAATATATGCCAAATAAAATTCTGAATTTTCCCTTGAAATAATCCTTTCCACTTCCTAGAATTAGAGTTTGCATGAAATTTGAGAGATCATTCAGTTCACTCCCCTTACGTTAAAGAGAATTAAATTTCAGAAATATAATAGATACTCACTTTCCTTGTTTGTTTTAAAGTCTATAAAGAAGATGAGTTCTCAATTACTTTGCTATTGCCTACATTTATTGATTCAAAACAATGTTAGAATACCTATAATGGGTAACTCACTATGTAATGTGAAACGGGAAATGCATTAATTAATTTGGCATAGATCCAGCTCTCAAGATGCCCAAAGACTAGCAGGAAAGGTGAAGGATGTACCAAAATAATTATAATATCAAGCAGATAAGGGCCAGGAAATTACTACAGGAGTAAAGAAGATGGTGTCATTATTCCCAGCTGGGGCATGAATAAAGTGACTTAGAGGCAACTCTGAGATTGGAGAAATGGGGATATTCCAAGCTAGGGACTGTGCAATCAAAAGCAAGGCGGTATGGGGTATATAAAGAGAACATGCAAGTAATTCAGCTTTGCAAAAGAAAGCATAAAAATTGGAGAGTTTGTGGAATACAAAACTGGAAATGTAGACTTAGTCCAGAATGTGTAGGATCTCTGGATATATAAAAATATGCTTTTTTTCTTCATCCTGTACTCCATATGGAATTATTCATTTATCCATTACACAAAATATTTTTTTTCCTTTTTGTCTTTTTTACTGACAGGTAACGGGATCGCAACCCTCAGTGTCACGCCCCTACCGGGGACCGGCAACGGGATCGCAACCCTTGGTGTTGCGCCCGCACCACACTCAGCCAGTGAGCGGGAACCGATCTCCACATGGGATCCGAACCCTCAGCGAGAGCGCCGCCACGCTCCCAAGAGGCACACTCTCCAGTGCGCCACCAGGCCGGCCCATTACACAAAATTTTTAAGCAGCACCTAAGTAATGGGCACCAGGCAAACGCACTAAGAATGCAAATTTGAAAAATACATGTTATCTACCTTCAAGGGACTTATCCTACACTGGGAGTAACAGATAAGTAGCCAACGATCACTGTACAACAGTGTGAGAAATGTCATAATAATATGTACAGAGTCACACTGGAGGGTATAAGAAGACTAACAGAAAATCAGACTTGTAAGGGCATAATAATAGTGTTTCAAAGGAAGAAAATGTGAAGATCAGTAGCAGTATTCTAGACAGAGAAGGGGATACGGATATTCAGGTAATGATAAAAGAATGATCAAAACATGTAAAGGTGTGAAGAGTATAAAGTGTTCAGAATAAATGTGGCAAAAGGTAAAGAGTGTAGGGGAAATTGGGCTAAAGAATAGCCTGGGGTCAGAAAATAAAGGGTCCACTGCACCAAGGAACTCTAACTACATTTTATCCCAAAGCCACAGAAAACTATGAAATTATTATGATGTCCAAAATTATGCTTCAAGAAAATAAATCTGGCAGCAGCATGTAGAAAAGACTGTAAAGAGGAAAGAAAGAGGAAGTAACTGCAAAATGCTAGAAAAATGGTATAGAGGGTCCAAACTGGCCCAGGACAGTGAGAATGTCACAGAGACAGAACTCATTCAATTGAGCAAACCAAAAATTAGAGAACAAGGGAAGATGTTGAGTGCCTTATGTTTTATAATGGAGAAAACAAAACTAGCAACTAGAAAGAATAAGTGGATATCATAGGAAACCTAGCAGTGGGAAAATATTTAAGAGGTAAAGAGAGCAGAACCAGCGGCGAGAGAGATGGGATAACCAGGAATAGAAAGGAGGCACATCACGAAAACGGCAGGTAGAAAGTTTGGGCACTGTGGATAGCAGGATGGCAATAGGATATGGTCTCTGGTGACAAAGGGTCAATGGTGTCCCTCAATAAAGCAGTGTCAGGAGAGATTGGAGCAGAAGCCAAATTACCAGAATGTTACGATTGACTGGGTTGTGAAATCAGACTAAGTTTTAGAACTCTTTAGAGAAAATTTAACAGGGGAAGGAAGGAGAGAGAGGCTGGTAACTTGAGAAGCATCCTGGGATTTTTTTTTTTTTTTTTTTTTTGGTAGAGGAGACTTGAAAAGGGTTGTAGGTAGGTCAGAAAAAAGAATTCAGAAGAGAGAGGATTTAATAATCTTTATTGGCTAGAGGTTCATACTTTTAACTTAAATCTATAGCCCAAATCATTTCCTTTCCTCTTGTTTTGTTTTTAAAGATCAAGAACTTCAGTTTGCCACTCTCTAAACGGTAAAGACCTTCATATATTTGGGGTCCATTATTAAAGCAACCTCCGCCTACTACCAGGTGAAAATACCAATCCATTAGTCCTTCTCTGTGAGTTTTATTTTACAACCTTTTAATCATCTCCGTGGCTTTTCCTTTGTGCCCGTCTCCACATTCTACAGCGTCTTCTTAGGAAAAAAAATCCCCAATAGGGCCCAACAATTTAATAGGCCTAAATTGAGTTTTTAAAAAGGCAGTTATATGATGATTACACCAATGATTTGCAAGTTCGTTTTGTTTTGTTTTTAAAACAGATAAACGATTTCTTCTAATTAAGTCATCTTCCAGATAAAAGCTTCTGCTCTGATTAAAGAGAGGGTGAGCAAGGTAGAGTCCCAAATACTGGGCACGTCTCCTCCCCACTGTGCAGAGAAGCTGCTGATGTAACCCCAGAAAGCCCCAGGGGTCTGAAAGCATCTGTTTCATACTATGGTCTATGTGTCCAGGGGTTATACTTACTGTCTAAGCTACAGTATAACAGTGCTGGATATCGGCTATGTTTTGTTTATTAGTTTATAACATATTCTCATAAAACACCTATGCAAGTTATCTTTCCTATTCTATATTTTAAAAAAAACATTGCCTTTAACACTACATAATCTGTAGATATTTCCTGAAACTTTTTCCCACTTGCAAATTTTATGCAGAATCCTGACCACATATGCCCAGGCATTAGCTACCTTTTCTTCTATCTAGCTTCATAACAGCTGCAAATGTGAACAGTCTCTAAGCCAGGTCATTGATGAGCACAGAAACAATGCTGCGTTGCAAATAAAATGTTTGGTGTTTTTTGTTTGTTTGTTTGTTTTTACCTCCAAAGAAAAGCCAAATTAATGAGATCCCTCATCTATTAAATATCCTAAAAGCAGTGAACTACAAAATGTGTAATCTGTAAAATGTGATAGAAAAGAATCATAAAAAAATGTATTTGCTCACTTTGATACTAACCTAATAAATTTAACAGCCAGGCCCAGGTCAGCTATACAGCAAGTTCCATTTTTCTTCACCAGGATGTTCTTACTTTTCAGATCTCGATGGGCAATTGCTGGTTTGCCTTGAGTACTAAAGATTTCTGTGTGTAAGTGACATAAGCCACTGACAGAAGAGTAGGCCAACCTCAGCATCGATTTAGTGTCTAGAGTGGTGGACTTCAGATAGTCATAAAGGGAACCATTTTCATGATAGTCTGTGATTAGGTACAACTGGGTCCAGGACCCTGTTCCTTTGATATCTGCAGCAATGAACCCTAAAAGGAAAAAAGACAAAAAAGGTTTGGAGGTAAGTTTTTTCTGAATAGCATCAAGAATAATGCATATTCTCAAATATCATTCTTTATCAAAGACATATTTTGTTGAGCATTTCATTCAATTTTCTGATTATGCCTATGATGGTACTGAATTACCAATACCAATCAGAGGCAATCAAAACTGTAGTGGGTAGAGAAAGATTAAGAGTTTGTATCTGAAAATATGATCCCTTTCTGATCAGTAGTTGATATTTAAATTACTTTATGGTATTATAGTTACACATAAGACACTGTTTGCAAAACAGGGTCTTGAGTTAAGGATACATGATACTGATTAGCATACTCTCCTTCTACTTGAATGATCCAGACAGATCTTTTCTAAGTTGACAATAAAAAGTAAGCCAATTCTCAATATAAACTCTTGATATAAATAAACCCCCCCAGATAAATTCCTATAACTTTTCACAACATTTAAACAAAAATATGCTCCTTCAAATCTCTAAGAACCCCTAAGAAATTCTGGCATTACATTTGCATTTCCTGTTTCTGGGGAAAAAAAATTTGAGAGTATTCCATTTTCAGCCCACCATTCATTCACAGGAGTGCCTTAGCCATTCCTCCTGTGAGGTCTCCCATTAGAAGTTTATGACATTCTTGGGGCCATGCCAAGAAGAAAATTTCTACATATTTCATAATGGGTCTAGACAGATAAGTTAATATACAGATGTTAAGAGAAAGACAGAGGAAAAGTAAGAAACCCTGAACATAGCTATACAGACTTTTTACTCACCCAAAATGTTTTCATGCCTCATCAACACTGTCTGATATATTTCTGTCTCTCTGAACCAGCTGGCTTCCTCTGTGGTGAAGAACACTTTCACAGCTACCTTTTCGCCACGCCACTTTCCCATCCAAACTTCCCCATAGCGACCTTTTCCAATCTGTTTCACCATCTGAATCTGCTTAGCTATAGTCCTTTGGACCTGTTAAATCCCAAAACACACTGTTAGTGTATTCACAGCCCTACAGATTTGTTTAATCTTTTTCTCCTCCAGAGAAAAAACAATTACTGCATGTAAAATATACCAGTATTTTTCTGTATATAAACAAGTTATCTTTATTTTTTTATTAATTTATGCCGCATTCTTTTATACATATTTGAGATTGATCATGGATTCTGAATGTTCAAAATATTGCTTCTGAATTACTAAATACTTTATTGTCTGTATCACCATTTTCATAGCAAAAAAATCCAAAAGGATTCACAGTAATTGGCAGAATAGAACACTTGCACTTTCACCACTACAATGGGATACTACATACTCTGAAGGGATTCTTGCCACCATACACCTAATCATGGATAAAATATAACAAAACAAAATTGTAACACATTGTTGGGCACACAAGGAAAGAAAGGAAATCTCCAAGCAGGGAGGGTGGGAGGGAGTTGGGACCAGAGCAGGGAACAATGCGCATTAAGTATTTTCAAAAGCCAGGTTGCTATCTGGGCAAAGAATAATACCAGTACCTGGATCCAGAGTCTAAACTTTGACCCCTTTAAAACTGGAAGATTGAACCTCGGGTTTCCCATTAAGACGGAACCAACAAATGGTACTAAAATTTGCCCTAGGTTGGTAGCATGCAATGGCTCCCAGCAAAAAACAAATACAGATGCTCTTTTGAGGAAATCATTTGCAGAATGCTTTTCATTCCACAATTATGATAGGATAATAGTACTTTGAAGAAACTTGCCAGCATACAACTTGATTATGGGTAAAATATAAGAAATAAACTGTAATACATTGTTGGGCTCGCAAGGAAATAAAGGAAATCTCCAAGGGATGGGGGTAGGGGGAGGAAGGGAACAAAGAAAATAAAGGGAAAGAAGGGAGGGAGAAAGTGAGAGAAGATCCTACAGAATAAACTCCTTAAAACAAAAGAAAACAGCCACTATAAATGAGTCAACAGAAGCAACCCAAATAGATTTAATCTTTTCAGATTACACAGCAGAAATATTCAGAAATAGAATGACAAGAAACTCTACATGAGATATTAAAGAAATAGAAAATGAAACGAAAAATAAGCAAGCAGGAATTGATCATTGAAAATTATACTTTTGAAGTGGAACAGCTAATTGTCACAATCAAAAATGCAAAATAGATAGGCAAAAAGCAGATAAGAGAGAAAAGTTAATGAGAGAAAGTTAACAAGCCAGGGAGAAAGTTATTTAACAAACTATAAGATTGCTCTGAAGAATTATGAACAGTAGAGTGGAGACAAGGAGAAATAAAATATGAGAGTTAAGTAGCACTGAGGTTAAATGTCTCCTTAGACTTGATCTTCATCCTATCTGCACTTAAACAATAAGATATTTTAAGAACTCTGCTATGGATAGTTCCATGAATAAAAGGGCTAAGCCTCTGTGACAATTTATGTAATTTAGAAGATATACATAAAGAACTAGCATGGAAGGCTTGTAAGATCTGATCAGAAAATGAGAATGTATTCTTTGTAGAGATAAGCCTTATATCATATAAAAACAAATGTTTTTCTTTCTGTTTTTGCACTTTTAAGGATGATGCAATTACAATGGGCAAAACCAGATAATCCAGAATAATCTTCTCATCTCACAGTCAGATGATAAGCAACTTTAATTCCCCCTTGCCATGTAACATAACAGACTCTAAGGATTTGAACATGGACATTTGGGGGTGGGGGCATTATTCTGCCTGCCACAGATGTCTACCAACTAGGATCGGTTTTTTCATGATGGATAATTTTATCCACATAGGAGGTAATGCTATTCATTGACAGAACCATTAATGGAACTAATATCAGATTGAAATATTTTTGGAAAAACACTTTTTTTTTTCCTAAAAGAAGTATTAAAAAAATAAGATAATAGATTATATGCCACGAAGCCATGTAGGCTAATGAAAATAAGCAAGCACGTATATATAAAGAGCAGCAGAAGAATCAAGAGCACGAAGCAGCTGGGAGCCAAAAATACGAGTAAATTACTCACTTGAGAGGAAGTGTCCCACATGTATTAAACAAATATTATATATGATGTATAGATGGTACAAAGCATTGCTCAGGTAACAATGGAACATTTCCTAACATATACAGTTTTGCATCTGCTTCTTTTCTAATGATAATATATCTTCTTAAAATTTAATGAAAGTACTGACAGAATTGGCAATGCTTGGTAGAATAGGAACAACTTATCGCAAAGATAAAAAGTGTTACTAAATTATATTCAGAAATTAAAAATACACTTGTATTTTGAGATTTATTATAATATCTAAGGACTTGAAAATTTTAAAAACTGATCTATCTGAGTTTGTATTTGACTTACCAAATGTTTCTGGTCTTTTTGTACCTAACTTTCATTCTATATTATATTCTTAGGTATCAATTTTTGAAAAATGCCTGTAAGATTTAGGCACTGTAACTGTAATTCAAAAAAGAGAAAAATTATTTCATGTGCACTGGATACAACTGAATGTATAAGGATTTATAGGGAGTTATCACCATTTCAGGACTGGCATCTTATCTAGTGATTATATATATCCAATAGACTCTAATGTTTACATCCATGTACAAATAATCAGACACTAGAAAACATGTAGTTGGACTTCCGATCAAAGTGGTGGTATAGACGGTACCCAGTGTCACCCTCACCCACAATCAACCAATTTACAACTATTAAACAACTGCCAAGCTGGGGCCACTACAGCTCGGGGGAAGAGGAGGAGAGAACTACGGAATTCATGAAGGCAGAAGAAGCCACGATGAGAGAAAAGAAGGACTGCTCCAATCGTTTCAAGCCCCGGCCACTTCAAGGCTGGCCTTGGTGAGCAAACGGAGCAAAAGATGGCAAAAGCCACAGCTGTGCCATTCTTATGCAGTTGTTTGGAGTCTGCAGGGGAGAAGAGGGCCTTGGTGGCCCCCAGGCCAGCAAGCCCACTAACAGGATTCCTGTGGACCCATATAGGAGCAAGGGGCCACAGACAACTGAAAAAAGAAGCCACTCAGAGGCTGGTGAGTCATTGCAAGGAACCGGCGCATGGCCCACCCCATGGGAAGTGTTTGGAGTGGGGGGGGTGGGGGAGACAGGCCCACTGCCGGAACATTGGGGCACAGCATGGACAGCTGATCTGCCCCAGCAATCAGCGCAGGACCATTCAGTGAAGACTGGTCAGGAATACGGAACAGCAGGGGATGCAGTTTGATGAAAAGACTCAGGCCCAGACCAGAGTTTCCACACAACCCAGGTGTACAGGACCTCACAAGACCCAGAAGTGCTTACAAGGTCAACCATTAAAACTTGAGCTGCACAAAAAGCCTTCCACAGAGAATCAGTAGCAAAGCAGCAATTTAGCTCAACCACAGGGCTCAAGGGCTGGTCCCCACAGGAAGTTCCCCGATTTTAGAAGTAACCAAAGGACAACAAATTAGTTCCAGTACAGAGTTTAAGTGGTGGCGGCAGCTAATAATACAACACAGAACTGAAAGAAAACACAAAACACCCACAGATCAAAGACAAACCTCTGACATTAACCAGTAAAGGCCTAGCACCATCAAAGAACACCTATAAAACCTAGAAGGACCAAAAGCCCCCCAAGCTCCTAAGCCAGGGTGGAGGGAGGGCCAAGGCCCTCAGCCATGTCACATCCAGCCCAGTGACAACCACCAGGCCACTGCTGGAAGCACCCCAGGCTCCCAAGCCAGGGTGGTGGGAGGATGAGGGCTTCAGCCATGCCCCCACTGTCATACACATCCAGCCCAGCAATGACCACCAAGTTGCATCTGGAAGTGCCCTGGGATCCCCTGCTGGAATGGTGGTGCCACGGGCCTCAACCATGCCCCTCATCCTATCCTCCTCCCCTTTCCCTTCTGCCCCTACCCCCAACTGCTCCACAACATCTTAGAATGTAAAAATAATAATAAATTTTTTAAAAAGAAAACATGTAGTTGTAAATAATGCTCTGTACTCCTATGTCCCTGAATTAGCAACACACACACACATACACACCTCTCTACACACAAATATATGGCTTAAAATACGCTGCTTCATAAGGGTGAGTTATATACATATGGGAAAGATTTTTCACAAAAGGTTTCTCACTTGAGTCTTCATATTTAGTTAGAGAATTTACTTCTTTTCTGCTCCTTCTCAAGGTCAGATAAATAGGGTATAAAGAACAATAACAATAATAACATGTTAGTATTTATTGAATACATACTGTGTATGTGTTAAATAATATACAAGGCATTTAATATATATATATTAATATATATTTAATATATATACAGTCAGGAGACACACACACACACACACAGAACAGAAACACACACTATTTTAATTCTTACAATAACCTTATGATACTCCTTCCTTTGAGGAAGGAAGAAATAAATATTTTATGAAAAAAAGAGAAGATCTAAAATTAAAAGACATATACAGTGTTTGGTTAACACTAGGTCCAACTATGTGTTTTTGAATGAGGCATCAATTTTTCCATTACGTTAATGAAATAAATAACAAATCAGCATTAAGGTGAGGCATTCACTTACACACCAGCACGTGGAGAGACTACTGTACACTTCTGCATTGTTTACCATAAAAACAAAATCCTAAGACCAGATACTAAATCTGTAATACTGAGACTTGTTCTTTACTGAACTGGGTTTTATAGAACTCTCTTTCCCATCCCTTTCCTCTCAAAAGCATTTCTTGGATTTATTTAACTAACATTAGGTTCACATCTTACAAACGTTAAGAGCACAGATTCTGGAGGCAGATCATCCGGGTTCGAATCTCTTCTCCACATACGAGCTAGCTGACCTATCTGGGCCTATATCCCCTGATGTGTAATACAGATATATTTCTAGTACTACCTCCTGGGATTGCCATGAGGATTAAATGAGAACCTATTTGTAAAGGGCGACATCTGGCCAGCACTGGAAACCCAGGCAATCTGGTTTGAGAATCTGTACTTTTAACCATTACGTGATGTAAGCCAAATGCTATTTTGTGATTATAGAAACAAGACAGTATTTTTACAAAGACTAAAACTAGGAGGAAAGCTTTTTTAAAACAAATAACTGAGAGGCCTCCTTAATAAATCAGGCACTCTACTGGGGATACAGAATGAATGAAATGTAGTCTCCACTCTTGAAAAGGACATAGTCCACCAAAAGACACAGATATATTAATGTCAATTATACAGTTACTTTAAACTGCCATATTAGTACTAAAAGGAAAATGTTATGACACAAAAACAGATTGGCTTAGTCTGGGAAAACCAAAAAGTTGTCACAGAGGTAAAACGTAAGGTAGGCCTTGAGCCCTAAATTGGAGGAATGTTTCATAAAGAGATTACATTAGAAAAGACTTGGACATATGTTGCATCTGAGAAACAATTACTCAAAAGTCATACTAGAGCTCAAGAAGCAGGTGGGGGACATGTGGGAGGAAGGGTTGGGCAGGCAGGTTGAACTTATGTGCCATACATACGGAGCTAAGAAGACCCATGAACAATAGTGGGTATTAGAATGTTTTATCCAGGTAAGTAACATAGTAAGATCAAAGATTTTAGAGAGATAACTCCAAAGTAATGAGAAAGATGGGTTAAAAGGAGTTAACACTAGAAGAACAAATCAGTTTCAATTCCGAGAGCAGGAGCATATAATTTATGAATACCAAAGGGGATTTTACTATTTGTACTTTCCATTTCCTAAAAAAAAATATACTACAGTTTTCGAATATAAGAATTGTATTGCTATTAATTAAGTTCTAGGAATGAAAAGAAATCAAGGAATTTGATAATTAAAACTTTTACAAAAAAAATGTTTCACATCTTAAGTAGCATCATTTTGATCATAATGACCCAAATACCTCTGCACGGGTTGTTTTCTGCCTGGCCTTAAAAATGTTACTTGTAGTAGTAAATAAAAGGTCATCAAAGGAATCAAGTAAATAAGATATCCAAATTAAGAATCAGATCATAAAGATTAGGGAAATCAATTTTTAAAGTTTATTAAGGAAAATATTTCTCATTAAAATTGTTTCCATCCTAAATCCCAACAATCTTTCTGCATGATCCATAAAAGAATCAAACACATTTGTCATTAAAGCAAGTGCTTTGGACATGGTATATATTCTCTCCAGGCTGGCAGTGCTAACTATCAGAAAATTAAACTTTTCCTAAATGGAAAATCCAGGACTTCACCCTGAAACATAAACCCTGCGGCTGAAATATGGCCTTCTTCCTTTATAGAAGTACTCAGATCCCAGCTAGTTGTAATACTTTCTGCTTTCAAAAGCCAGGCCAAAGTACAGTAATGCTATCCTTACTGAAAACAGAGGGAAGATGGTACCATGTTTAACGTTTTCTAATCTGCTCCTTATCAGAATATCTGAGGGTCTGGATTGTAACCATACACCTGCATTAAAAATCAATTGCCTTACCCTCAATATGTCAAAATGTTATCAGGAAGCCCTCTGTCTGAGATCTGATGTCCAAATGACTGCATAGAGCTTTCTCCTTCTCTGTTGCCCTATCTGTTTCAGTAAAATGAAACCCGGTATTTATTGACATTTCCTTTCAGAAGACAGTTCCTTTAAATACAAGACATGTTCTTTTCCTACCAGCAGAGGGAGTCCTGATCCACTTCCTGAGCTTTGAGACTGCTCAATTAAGTCTCTCAGGGATTCTCCAGGAGGAATGTAAGTTTCATCCTGTTCTAACCCAATGCTGTACCGAGGTCTGGTTTCTTGTCTTTTATACCTAAAAATAGAGAGACAAAGATAATTTTAGATACTGAAATGCAATGGCAGGGGTAAAACATTACAGATAAAACAGTAACCACAGCAGGTTTTACTTTAGCACATAAATATAGTACAAGATTAAATGCTTAGCATTAGTTACCTTTAGTTATGGCTTCCAAAATAAAAATCATAATTATTTTGTTAACCTACTTTTTAAAATAAACTAGATGTTTTTACTCAGTCTTAACTATCTACAATTTTTCTTTATTCCTTTCAATTGCATACAACCAAGCCAACTACATCCTGTGAGTGTTTCCAAATAGCTCCAGTATTAACTCCCTAAAATCTTTTCTTTTAAGGTCCCTAAATAATTAAAAATGCAAATTTTTGGTTTATAAGAAAACATTACAGCTAACTCTATCATCTAAGGTAACACATAAGGCAATAACAGATAAATGAAATAAAATTATACTTTAAAAACTTTTTGTCAATAATTACAATGTCTTCAATTAGAAATGAATTTATTTGAATCAACTAATCTACCCATTTGCTGAGTATCACAAATGAGTATTAAATTGTTCAAAGGGCAAATGATATGAATATAATAATCCTTAATATTTCATAAAGTTGAAAATAAGTTCTTAGGTGACTGAAAATAATTTGTAACTACCATACTTAACTTTAATATAATAACTGAACTTAATTTATTTTAATAATCTATAAATCATACTTAAAATCTCTTAATGCTAAGAGGAATTTTTTAGCTCAGGAAATAAATTACCCAAGCCACTCTTAGAATCAAACCTAAGCAGTCCCTGAATTCCCTAACTATCCTAGGTTACCTAAGGATGAAATATTTATCCAGGTAGTTTTGATGTCTGAAGTAGAAATGAGATAGGTATCTATTTATAACTTCATTAGATAAATATTTATGAGTGGTAACAGATATTTTCAGTTAAATAAAAGATCTAATTAGGTCAAAGAAATCTGTGGTAAAAAATGCCAACACGCAAAAGCAATAGAATGTTAGTATAAGGAATATACTATAAACTCAAAATTCTACATCCACATATTGGGAACGTACCTGAAGTAACAGAATAAAATGATAAGGACCAAAAGCAAACTACAGACAGTCACAGATATAAGTAAGGCCTTGTGGTGTACAGATCCATCAACAAAATCTGGAAATAAAAAGAAAGAGAACTGTAACGCAGAGAATACTTTCACCTAAAAATTAGAAAGCAACTCTATGTGCTTGCTAAGTGTCACATGCAAGACACGAAAGGTCCTTTTAACATGCTAATTGATAAGAAAGAATACATATATACTCTAATAAGTTTGACTAGCATGAATCATCATTCATCATCCACGCACTTATTTCAAGAACACACATTTATTTTTCTCAGGAAGGAACAGGCTTCTTTGGAAGCAACAGGGTAAAACCACAAAAAGAATATGAGCAAGGGTAAAATATAAGTAGGAAGCTCATCTTCATTCAAGATTCAGCGGATGTGTTCACAGATTCTTCTCACGTGGTTTCTGGAGCAATCTATACCATGAGTTTGGATTAAAAAACGAGTACACATTCATTGTACATAAAACACAGAGTCATCTTATAATGGATACAAAAGAGGATTCTTCAAATGTTGCCAAATATAGAATGTATTGCTTAATTTTTCATAAATGAAATCATACTTTAAAAGAATGATGTGATTCAGCCAAAAGATATGTGATACTTTTATAGAACAAATTATTAAATACAAGGGGTCTTTAAAAAGTTCATGGAAGGAATCATATTACCTATTACTTCAATTTTTCCACAAAGTTTTTGAAGTACTAATGTATTACTCATTTTGTTTTAACTTCAGTTCTTGACAAATCAGATCTACCTAGAGCATAACTTATCAAACTTTATATAAATAAAAATGACTTAGCTTTATACAAATGCATATTTACTGACTTTAACCCAAGAGATTTTTAATCAAAGTACTTTTTTTAACGATCATCCCAGGTGATTTTTATGTAGGTGGTCTCTGGGACATATTTGAAAAACCTGACTTAAAACCAGGTGCACTTATATAGTAACAAAATTAGCAGTGTTCTTATTAAGGGCACCGCATGCCCTTGAGAGTATGATTACTATTACTTGATTTTAAAAGGCAGTATTGTAATTTATGAGTTTGGTGGCTACAAACAAGAGGTTTTCCAACTGTGCTGTATACCTTGAACTACATAGCCACCTAGATATTTGGCTGAGGCCTTATCCTACCTATGTGACTTATTTTCATTCAAAAGAATTATGTGTTCCATGAAGAAAAACTAAAGAGCACCATTAAAATTAAAAACAAACAGCAAAAACCCACCACCTCCTTTATAACTAGATTGTTTTCCTTTCTATAATATTGTGAATTTTCCAAAACAACATTTTTTCTGCAACATGATTTTATTTTTTTCCTTTTTGTCTTTTTTTACTGACCGGTAACAGGATCGCAACCCTCGGTGTCGCGCCCGTACCGGGGACCGGCAACGGGATTGCAACCCTTGGTGTTGCACCCGCACCGCGCTCAGCCAGTGAGCGGGAACCGGTCTCCACATGGGATCCGAACCCTCGGCGGGAGTGCCGCCGCACTCCCAAGCAGCGCATTCTCCAGTGCGCCACCGGGCCGGCCCTGCAACGTGATTTTTAAAAATTACGTAGTATTATACACAGAGACATCCTAATTAGAAAGCCAATCTTCTACTGTTGTATATTTAGGAGATTACAAACATTCTGTTTAACACTTCTTTACCACAATATATAAAGTTCTACAATGAACACTCTTACACATACATCTTTGCATAGTTCCATGATTATTTCCTTAATTAAGATTCTTAGAAGTAGAATTATAAGTTCAAAAAACATATATTTTAGGTCTTCCAGTACATATTGTTAAAAAGCCTTTTAAGAGATTGGAAAGGGCCGGCCCGGTGGCGCACTGCATAGTGCGCCGCTTGGGAAGCGCGGCGGCGCTCCCGTCCGAGGGTTCGGATCCCACATACAGACCGGCTCCCGCTCACTGGCTGAGCGAGGCGCGGGAGCAACACCAAGGCTTGCAATCCCGTTGCCGGTCCCCGGTCCGGTACGGGGGCAACACTGAGGGTTGCGATCCGTTGCCGGACACGGAAAAAAGACAAAAAAAAAAAAAAGAGATTGGAAAAGTTTCTACAAGGGTACTTCAAAGAGTTCATGGGAAAAATAGAATTTAAAAGATAATATGAATCTTTCACTAAACTTTTTGAATTACCCTGTACTTCACCATCAATGTGAATATATGTTTTAATTATTTTGAAACAATTTCAGCCTTACAGAAAAACTGTAAGAATAAAGAACTTCAATATGCCTTTCACCCGAGGTTTCTCATTGTTAACATTTTATCCTATTTGTTTTATCATTTTCTTGCTCTCGTTCAGTACCTCTCTCTCATTTCTATTTATTTTTATTTGCTTATTTATTTATTTGTATGTCTGTATGATTTGGGGGTCATCTGAAGTTGCAGACATAATGCTCCTACCCATTTATAAATTCTTCAGAGCCTACTTCCCGAGAACCAGAGACATTGTCTTACCAAATAGTAATACAATTACCAAAATCTGGAAATTAACATGAACATATAAGTTGGAAAATAAATCTTACTTTGAAATATTTCAGAAAAAGTTTGGATTATTTAAACTATAACCCGCAGATCTTTGTACTAATTTCTTGTCCAAACCTCATGATGGTAAATGTTATAATTTACTCATTAGTCTAAAATATAAATGCTTACTTCCAATACTTAGTTAAATAGGAGTGGCAAGAGTGGGCATCTTTGTCTTGTTCCTCTTATTAAGGAAAGAGCTTTCAAGAGAAAGAAATAAAAGGCAACCAGATTGGAAAAGATGAAGTAAATTGTCCCTGTTTTTAGATGACATGATCCTATATATAGGGAAGCCTAAAGACTCTACAAAAAAACCTCTTAGAGTAGATAAATGATTTCAGCAAAGTTGCAGGATACAAAATCAACACACAAAAATCAGTAGCACTTTAATGCTACAACAATGAACTAGCAGAAAAAGAAATCAAGAAAGCTAGCCCATTTACAACAGTCACCAAAAAAAAAAAAAATAAAATATCTAGGAATAAAGTTAATCAAGGATGTGAAAGCTCTCTCTATGATGAGAACAACAAATCAATGTTGAAAGAAATTAAAGAGAACACAAGAAGATGGAAAGATATTCCATGCTCTTGGATTGGAAGAATTAACATTGTGAAAATGTCCATATTACCCAAAGTGACTTACAAATTCAATGCAATCCCCATCAAAATACCAATGACATTCTTCACAGACTTAGAAAAAAAAACAATCATAACATTCACATGGAGCAAAAAAAGACCCTGAATAGACAAAGCAATCTTGAGCAAAAAATAAATAAATAAATAAAGCTGGAGACATAACACTACCTGACTTCAAATTATACTACAAAGCTATAGTAACCAAAACAGCATGCACTGGCATAAAAATAGACACATGGACCAGTGAAACAGAACAGAGAACCCAGAAATCAGCCACTACACCTATAGCCAACTGATCTTCAAGAAAGGCACCAAGAACATACACTGGGAAAAAGACTGCTCTTTGATAAATGGTGCTGGAAAAATCAGACATCCATATGTAGAAAAATGAAACTAAACCCATACCTCTCGCCATATACCAAAATCAACTCAAAATGAATTAAAGAATGAAATATACATCTTGAAACTATAAAACTCCTAAAAGAAAATACAGGGGAAACACTTCAGTTAGTACCACTGGGCAAAAACTTTAGGAATATGACCCCCAAAGCACAGGCAACAGGAGGAAAATAAATAAATGGGATTATATCAAACTAAAAAGCTTCTGCGTAGCAAAAGAAACAACAGAGTGAAAAGACAACCAACAGAGTGGAAGAAAATTTTTGCAAAATATGCATCTGACAAAGGATTAATATCCAGAATATACAAGGAACTCAAACAACTTCCCAGTAATAAAAACAAGAAACCTGATTTAAAAATTGGCAAAGGAGCTGAATAGGCATTTCCCAAAGGAAGATATGTGAATGGTCAACAGACACATGAGAAAATGCTCAACACCACTCAGCATCCAGGAAATGCAAATCAAAACCACATTAACTCTCCAGTTAGACTGTCTGTTAGCAAAAAGGCAGAGAATAACAAATGCTGGCGAGGATGCAGAGAAAGGGGAACCCTCCTACACTGTTGATGGGACTGTAGATTAGTGCAGCCATTATGGAAAACAATACAGAGTTTCCTTAAACAACTACAGACAGAACTCCCATATGACCTAGCTATGCCACTGCTGGGTATATATCCAAAGGAATGGAAATTATCATGTCGAAGGGACACTTGTACTCCCATGTTTATTGCAGCTCTATTTACAACAGCCAAGAGTTGGAACAAATGTAAATGCCCACCATCAGATGAGTGGATAAGGAAAACATGGTATATTTATACAATGGAATACTACTCTGTAATACTGTCATTTGCAGCAACATGGATGAACTTAGAGAAAATTATATTAAATGAAATGAGCCAGGTATAGAAAGAGAAATACCACATGTTCTCACCTATATGTGGGAGCTAATTAAATAAATAAATAAATAAACAAATAAATTTTAAAAAGAAAAAAAGATACAACAATCACAAAAAGACATTGAACTTTTTAAGAGAAGAGAACAGAACTGAGTTTGCCAGGGGTGGCAAACAGGGAATGGGAGGGAGGAAGGGAGGAATTAGTAAAGGGCCACAAAAATCAATTACATTGTATAATGCCGAATATATGAATTATCCTGATTTGAACATCACATATTGCACACAGGTATTGATATTCGATGCTGTACCCCACAGATGTGTACAAACAACTATGTTCCAATAAAAAAAATTAAAAATGTATTAATAAATAAAAATAAAATATATGTGCTTAACAACTATTTATGATGCATACTATCTGAAAAATGTTAATGAAAAGTAGTCTGTATCTGAAAAGACTAAATGAGAGACCACTAAAAATATGGAGTTTTATATTAATAAATTCAGATACATTGCTAATTTTCTAGAAAAAAAGAGTCCAGGAACTCAGACCACTACAGTACAAAAAGCCACTCAGGCTTTAACACAAACAGGAATCATATATAATTAGCACATTCATTGTCTGAAATGTGTTTCTTAGCAAATCTTGAAAATAATTTGTAGGCTCTTAAAAGCGTGCTAAAAAAAAATTTTTTTTTTCCTTTTTGTCTTTTTCCGTGTCCGGCAACGGATTGCAACCCTCAGTGTTGCCCCCGTACCGGACCGGGACCGGCAACGGAATCGCAACCCTCGGTGTTGCTCCCATGCCTCGCTCAGCCAGTGAGCGGGAACCGGTCTGTATGTGGGATCCGAACCCTCGGCGGGAGCACCACCACACTCCCAAAGCGGTGCACTATAGCAGTGCGCCACCAGGCCGGCCCCAAGCATGCTAAAATTTTACACAATGAATTGTCTTAGTAAAAATTTCTTCCATTCCTCCCCCACTTAGGTTAGATACAGAATTAATGATAGACCCACGATGTCACAACACCTCAGCCAGTGAAAGCACAATTCACAATGTTTTCAAACTTATACAGGCATACAAATACCACAGCACATTACATGCAAAGACTGCCACTGGAAACTCAGCTTAAAATATATTTTCAATTCTAAAGATAACAAAAGCTTTATTTTGCAGAAATCTAAGGAGAATGCCAGGTACTCAACTAAAACTAGAACTAACCAGATAATCACAACATATTATCAGTATAGGAAAACATAGTACTTTTTCTTTCCAGTGAAATAATTTTACTAAAACTCTCAGCTTCACCACATTTTATTTTCCAAGTTAATGCAGAATACAGAATACAACCTGAACTACAAGAACACTATATTTATTACTCACCTTATTATATTTTTGATTTATGAGAGCAATGAGACTAGAAAGGACCTAAGGGATTCTTTTTCAACACATCAAGCACTTTATTTAAGGCTAGCATTACCTTTCCATTTTCCTTTTCTTTGCCCTAATAACCCTATCCCCTGCAGCCTCATCTACTGCCTTGTTGTCTTCTTTCATGAGTAGGTGATCTTTATCAATAAACCTTTTGTTTCTGTTGGTCACACTGGTCATGTTTTAGTCTGCCATTACCTGTGCTCAAAGCATTAACAATGTAAACATTCAAGTCACTGCCAGAGCCTTGGAAAGTGAACACTTCCAGATACCTATCAGGCAAAGAGCAAAGCCTACAGTTCTCTCTAGGGTAGGAGATTTCTACCTGTGCTGTCACTCCAGCTGCTCAGGGAAGAAGAACCTAGAACTCCTGAGGGAAGTCTGGTTCACTCTGAGAGGCAAGTAAGAATCACCAGGGGCTTTAAAACAAAACTGCATTCTGTCACTACTGTCTCCTCTCTGATAATTAAGTGGTTTGTAACTGCTTAAAACACCAGGACAGTGCATATAGTACACTTTCAATAAAAACACTGTAAACATGTATATGATGGAGGCAAAAAAAAAAAAAAAAAAGGCAGCAGCTCTGTGGTATGACTATGTAAAAAAGCCAGTGCTCTCAGACCACAGTCTGCAGTGACTTCTACCTGACCCCAAAACGAGTGGGCCAATAAAGTGAGGTGGAATCTGCAGAGACCTTGTCTAGGCACTGCTTGGGATCCTCAGGGTTCAAAGCAGTAAACTCTAATGCCACTAATGCTTCCAAAACCAATTGCCTTACATAATCCTCAGTAGAATCCACCAGCCAGCCCTGCATCATCCTCCCCATACTGCCTTGAACCAAGAACTTGTCTTCTCATTACTCCTATTCTTATTTTCAAAGCATTTTCACTCTGTCCTCCAGAAACTTATTCTATTTTGAAATTTTCCTACATTTTTAACCTCATCAGATAATACTCCATCACCTTCCTAGTCCTAACAAGTATGTGGCTCCATCTCTCTAAAATTATGAAATTTTCTCCAACCAGCCATGCTATTTTATACTGCTATATTTTGCAAATGCTTCTCCAACATTACAAACCAGAACTCCACACTTAACTATTGCCTCAGTTTAGATCCACTGCTTCTCACAGGCTATGCAAACTTGGGAAAGTTAATAGACCTTTCTGTGTTGCAATTTCCTCATCTTTAAAATAGGAATAATAATCATAAATTCTTGTGGAGTTGTTGTGATGCTGAAGTGGATTAATTAATGTAATACTTAGCACAATGCTTAGCTTATGTTAGCTATTTCAATTTTTAAATTTTTATCCATTTAGCTTATCCTGCCTTGTCTGCTTTGCAAAATCTTGTTCATCCTTAAAGTCCTGTTCAAGTATCACTTCTGTGAAGTTATTTTAACACCTTCCCACCCCAGACAGAGCTAGCCACTCTTGTGTCCTTAATACACTTTACAATCTAATTCTGCTCCTGAGATATTCCTGACCAAATATAATCTAATTATTTACATGCTTCTCTTGGGAGCAAGAATTTTCTTCATCCATTTCTATATTCTTAACACCTAGCATGGTGCCTGACAAAGTTTTTTTTTAAATGTCTTTGAGGTTTTGATGTGAACTATCATGAGTCAGTGTTGTACAGCTTTCTAGACTACAGCAGAAACAAATGTTATAAAAAGTTACCAAAGGGGCTGGCCTGGTGGCGCACTGGACAGTGCGCCACTTGGGAAGCGCGGCGGCGCTCCCGCCCGAGGGTTCGGATCCCACATACGGACCGGTTCCCGCTCACTGGCTGAGCGAGGCGCGGGAGCAACACTGAGGGTTGCAATCCCGTTGCTGGTCCCCGGTCCGGTACGGGGGCAACACTGGGGGTTGGGATCCATTGCCGGACACGGAAAAAGACCAAAAAAAAAAAAAAAAAAAGTTACCAAAGCCATGAAATTCCATAATATTTTGTTGGAAAAATTTTCACTTCTCCTGAAAAATCATTTTAAATCACTTATACAGTAAAAGACTTAGGACTTAAAACTACAACAATTACGTATCATTTATTTTGTGGTGAGAGCAAGGAGGAGAAAGGAAACATGGGAGCTGTTTCTAACAAAAAGTCTTTGAGGATGTAATATTTATCTTTTTTAATGAGATATGTAAGTTTTGAAATAAAAAACTTGTATACATCTCCATTTTATAAATATACTGATATATGATTTGACTAAAAAAGTCTAGCATAATCAAAAGAAATGTCATAGAGCAAATAGTCTTTGATTCAGTCCTTTATAAGGTTTTTACTTTTTTTAACTTACACATTGTAATTGTACATACTTATGGTGTACAATCTTATATTTTGATACACTTTACAATTTATAATGATTGGGTCAGGGTAGTTAATGTATCAATTGTTTCATGCGTTTATCATTTCTTTGTGAGAAAAACATTCAAAAGCCTCTACTCCAGCTATTATGAAACATACAAAATGTAACTGTTAACCACAGTCATCCTACTATGCAATAGAACACCAGAACTTATTCTTCCTATCTATTGGTAATTTTGTACCCATTGGCCAGCCTCTCCCTGCCCACCCCACCTCCCCCCTTCTCTCCCCAGTCTCTGGTAAGGACTATTCCATTCTCTACTTCTATAATATCAACTTTTTTTTTTCTTAGATTCCACATATGAGTAAGATCACATGGTATTTGTCTTTCTGTGCCTGGCTAACTTCATTCAACATAATGACCTCCAAGTCTACCCGTGTTGCTGCAAAATCCTTTTAGAGCTGAATAATATTCCATTGTGTATATATTAAAGGTCTTTATTATTTCAAATGAATGTAGGCATAAGATAGTTTTTGAGTAAAATACAACTTCTGAATAACTTTTAGGGGTAAGCATAAAACACTGACTCCCTCTTTGACCCTCCTGCAACATACTATAATCTTTAGAAACTGTAGTTTTCTGAAGGGAAGTGGGGAGAAGTTAAGGTAATAAAAATCATAAGAGTGAAGCTACATACATCTATTTTCTCAAGAACTACTTGAACGTGCCTTTGAATGACAGCTTCATTACATCATCTTGTCTCAGTATTGTTCCCCAGCAGTGGAAAATGGTGCAGGTAGATTAATTTGGAACAGAGAGAACAGTTCCATTTTTCTTTTCATTGTGCCTAAAGCTTTTCCAACCCAGAAGCGTGCCTCATCTTACCTCTGTTTTTCAATGGAGGCAGTGTAGGGTGTAGGTCTTTATTACATTCGTTCCTCTCTGTGCAGCATTCAATTGATCTTCTCTGATGAGGAATAGGAGTGTCCTAAAATTGAACCAAAACAGCTATTAGTGGGTTTCCTCTAAATTTCAAAGTTGCATCATCTAAAACTTTAAAAATTTTCACTATATAGATAATTCATTTCAAATTCTCAATCTTTACTCAATCATCTTGAAATTGCTATTTTCTGTCAAGTAATTTCTTTCAAATTACCATGTATTGTGTTATTACAACTTCTCCATTTCAACAAAATTATTACTACATTTATAATAACCAGTGCATATAGTGTAAACTGAGGAGAAAGGCTTGGCTTAATGCAATTAGCTAAATTGGATTTTGAGGAAGACGATCAAATGGGACACTAAGAAAGAAATTAACAGCAAAAATAAAAAGAATATTTGATTTCAAAATGAAGGGGAATTGCCCCATTGAGAATTTTCAATTATTTTCCAAATTACGAAAAATGTGCTGGCCAGGAAAAATTGTTTTATCTTTCCTGAAACTTGTTGGAAATTCTGCAAATGAAAGGTTATAAAGTAGAATCAAGTTATCTTCCTTACCCGACACTGAAAATCTGAGCCTTCTAGTCCTAGACATCCAGAAGTGACCACAGGCATCCCAGAATCATCTTCTTCTATCATTGTGAAACAATATCCGTCTGTGCTAAAGACCAAACAGGCACAGTGAGTGGGTGGGTGAGTGAGTGGGGAGGGAGAGGGAGGGAGAGGGAGATGGGGAGGGAGAGAGAGAGGAGGGGGAGGGGGAGAGAGAGAGAGAGAGACAGTGGGAGACAGAGGGAGAGAGAGGGAGAGACAGAGGGAGACAGAGGGAGACAGAGAGAGAGAGAGGGAGAGAGAGGGAGGGGGAGAGAGAGAGGGAGCAGGAATAGGGAGGGAGTGTGTGTGTGTGTGTGTGTGTGTGTGTGTGTGTGTGTGTGTGTGTGTGTGTCTGTCTGTCTGTCTAGGAGAAAGGAAATGAATGATGTGTATCATTTGTCTCACTGCAAACAAGCAGAAAGTCAATGATCTTTATGGGTTACAATCTATTGAGAGAATCCCAAAACTTCCTTTTATGAAAGCAGATTTAATTATCACATAAACATTTGCTGATGTCCTCTTTGGAAACCTGTGAGAAAGAAGTATCTGAAATTTCTATATAACATATATCAGTAATTACCATTAATAACCATATACACCAATTCCTGACACTTATTTTGGCCCTTCACAGATACCATTTTTCCAGACAAATCCAGACAACAACTCTGTAAGGAAGGTTGTTCTATTCTCACCTTCTATATGAGGAAACTGAGGCTTGGAGAGCTTGAGTAATTTTCCAAAGGTTGTATAGTTAGTTAGTGAGAGAGAGAGCAAGGGTTCGAACACATGTAAGTGAACCTTTATGCTGGTTCTACTTGCTCTGAGATAGTGAAATACAGTTATATCTTACTAAGGCACAAAAATTAAAGAAAGGCAGGAGTTGGGATCGGCACATCATAACTGAGGCAATGAAGATACTGTCATTTGGTACCTGGGCTTCTGGGCTGGACTGTTATTTGAAGAAACTAAGCTTGGTGGTAAGGAGTCTAGGCTTCAGTGGGGGTGGAGTAAGGATGGACAACAGAAAAAAGAGTTTGGACAAAACAATGGAAAGGAAAAAAATTAATTTCTGTATGGTTTTCTAAATTAAAATTAACTTTCACTTATTCTGTGTCATTTAATACCTTCAACAATACTAAGAAAGTAATATTATTTCTGTCTTTCAGATGAGGAAATCGAAGTTATAAGAGAGTAATAAACAAGGTCAGAGAACAAACAGTTACAGAATCAGGCCTTTCATCAAGAGCCTCTCACTTCATTCCCACATGTTTTCTGCTATTCTCCCCCTGGGACTAGAATGGAAAAACAGGAACTGCTATATATAGAACTATTTGTAAACAGACATTACTGTCTTCACAAATTTGGGTGATGCATGCCAGCAAACTCTCGATACAAGTCATAAACTACTACTGCATGTCTTAAAAAATAAAGTACTAAACTCTATCTCCATCCTTTTCTCATACATAGGCACACTCAGCATCCAAGACAGATATGACAGCACAGTCCTGAAAGGTCATGGGAAGAAGGCTCTGAGAATGGTATTAGCCATGATTTGTGGGTTTGTCTATTATGCATTAGTGGTAGCAGCCTTCTGCCATACATTAGCCCTTCAGTTATATCAACACCCTTAGAATTGTTTACTCAGTTTATAAGTCTCAAGTAATCCAAAATACCTCAGTTTATAAGAACTAGCAAAGCAAAGTTCAAACATACTAATGAACAGCTAGGAAGCACCAATGATAAATCTCTCTGTTAGACTAAGGTCAAATGCATGAATATTGTTGTGGAAGAAAGAGTGCTTCTGAACAGCCTATGCTCTGTATTCTTCGGGGCTTTACAGAAATTGCTATGAAAATGTAAAGTGTGTAAATGCTGAAGCAATAAACAAAATAGCTGTTGCATGGAAATTTACTTTAAACAGTATGAATGAGCAATACTAGTGATTTTTAAAATTTTTTTCCTACATATTTAGTCTGTATATATAACTCACATTTCTCATTAAAAGCAATAATTAAGTATCAGAAATAACCGTCTTCCTAATATTCTGATATTCAGAGTCCATAGGACTAGAGACCAATACAATATGCTAAATCTAAAGACTAATTTCTCCTTAATAGGGGCTGTCTGGTTAGCTCAAGTTGGTTAGAGTGCAGCCTGATAACACCAAGGTCACGGTTCGGATCCCTGGATACTGGCGAGCCACCAAAAAAAAAAAGTTTACACTCTCCTTAATCATGAGTTCCCTTTACTCTAAATCTGAATATATACTTATAAGAATAAAAAAGGGAATAATAAAAGCAGGTAAAGCTGTTGGCAAATTGCTTTTATAATGTCCTAAGATCTATTTTTAAAAAAATCAGGGAGAGTAAATTCAAGCTTTAAAAATACACTCCATCATCTCCAAAGAGGGAGGAGCTTAAAGTACAAAGAGGGGATGCGGAGGGAGAGAGACCCTGGAGAAAAGAATCAAGATCTCATAAGTCATAAACTCAGAAAGGAATCAAATGTTTAGATGGAGGACAAGAAAGGTGGTGAGAGAGCCATTTCTTCAATGAAGCAAAAATAATTTATAAGCTTCTTAGTGAAACTGCTATCTAGCAAGGGATATTAACTGGAACTAGAAGTAGAATTACACAAGCTTAGGAATTTCTTGAGAACTTTCAACTCTCAAGCAAGCACAAATGTAAACAAAGCTATGCTCCAAAGTCAAAGCTCATCAACTCTGCCCACCACTAAGAGAGGATGCTGGCTGTCACAAAGGGCAATTAACTCTTACCATTGGCTTATTTAAACATTCTGCTACGTGGTGGCCATGTTTTAGCTCTGTTTTGTATATAGCTTATTACCCCATCGATCCCACTATGTTGAAAGTGATAATAACAAGGGATGAAGAATCATAAAGGAAATAAAAGTAAAAATAATTTTAAACAAAATTGAAAGTAGTGAGATGTATTCATGAGTGCACGATGACTCATCTGACTAGAGTAATGATTATGAATGAAAAAAAGACAATTGATGTTAACATTTCAAAACGCTGTTCCTGTGTTATAGGCAAAGAAAAGTGATTAACACAATGGAACCACAGTTGAGTGTTTATCAAGATAACCAGTCATCGGTGCTGAATGCCTCTTGACATGATGTTAAATCATGAAAAAGCAAAGCACTTGAGAATTTAAAGGTTCCGTGAGGTCAAAGAGGAATGATAATACAACTTTTGTTGTTTCGGACGGTTCTTCAGGCTCATGGTTCCTTAAATTGGCCAAATATTCCAAAAGCAAAGGCCCATTGAGAAAGATCATTAGAGGATTAACTGCCTCAAGAGATTTTCAGCATGCCCATGTGAACAGGTACTAGCAAGAAAGCACTAAACCCGTTTTAAAGCTTTGAGGGACAAAGGGATGCTCCTTTTGGTGGATGTACATCCAGAGACCACAATAACTCCTCTCACTTACAGTCAAAGGGATTTATCACAGCCTTTCGGAACCTGACTCCTTCATTAGTTGTTGGAGAATGGCTAGAAACCAATTTCACAGGATGTCTAAAACTGCACTGACAGCATCTTTACTTAACATGAGGTTCGGCATTCACAAGATTTACCCAAGCTTTGGTCCCTTTAACTCTAGTTTTCAGTAAGATCTTATGTTTATTTATTGCAAACCCCTGGGTTGTTCAAACACAGCCACCACAGTTGAGAAAAGACTACTGCAGAACTTTTCCTCTAACTAGTTTAGATCTTTATAAAGATTAATTTAACTATAAAATATTTTTAAACTACTAGTTAAAAAGAGTTTATGTTATCCTCAATCAGGTGATTGAAAATTTTAAAGCAGTATTTTAAATTTTCCCAGGATAAGATTTAATTATGTAAATGGGTATCTGCACAATTGCATCTGCCCACAAGAATTAACAATTCTCTTGACTGATCAATATTTATTCCAATTTCTTCAGTAGGAGTTGGGAAAATATACAAAAATGGTCAGGGCCCCTCAGACGTTCAGAATCTTGCCAAGTATTTGATTTAAAAACGCACGTGCACCCAGGTGTCCTGGGTTATGGACTTAAGTATAAAGGACAAGCCAAGCAGCTCTGATCCACAGGCCCCCTCCCCACCCCAGGGATGCCCCCAGGGGGCCATGGGAAGGCCGCTACTGCTGTTGGAGGCTGTTGCTGCAAGTTGTTACTGCCAGTGCTCCCAGGATGCCCCAAGAGGTGAGCACAGCTGCTGCTGCTGCTAAGGACTGAGCTTGTGTCGTCTGCCAATGGCTCCCAGGACCTTTCCCAATTACCTAGCTTGTGGATCTGCACGTGAGGGGTCTGGTGACCCAGTGTGTACAATGGGTTTGAAGGGTCTGAGCCCTAGCCCTGACAATACAAAAGGAAACTTAGTATAACTAAAATAATGAAGCGTTTTGGCTTTAGTTATGAATTGCTTTAACAATACAATAGTCCCCTACCCTACAATTGGTGTAGTCTGTAGCTTTACAGTTATGTAATACTAGAATTCTTAAACTTCTTTCGAATTGTTTTTAAGTTTCAGTCAGAATTAATTTCCAAAGACTGGTTGATTCTAGGTCATCTGTAAATAGTCCTTGAAAACATCCTGTCTTCCAAAATATGTAAGGGAATAGTTCCCAAGGTCACAGGTAAACTCAAATACACATACAAATTTTAGATAACTAAAACATTTTAGTTAACTAAAACAGCTGAAGACGGCTTACAGCTTTGTTAACAGTGGCTCATTTTACACACATGACTGAGCACGCTGTGACTCAGGTGAAGTCAGGTGCTGAGAATGCAAAGGTCAGGAAGATGAGCCTTTGCTCCTGAGGAGCTCACAGGCTACTGAGGCCACCAAGCCCAGAGGAGAGAAAGCGATCCAACTTCAAGCGGTTGGGACAGAAATCATAAGCTACCTAAGTGTTTTCCACTGATTGACAAATAAGCAAAACAAGAACCTTGAGCAGGGGTAATTACCAAAGTAACAGAATCTGAAGATTTGGGTTTTTTCCCCCTATCATCTTCAGATGGATGGATTCCCACAGTGGTGAAGGAAAATAGAGTAAAATA